TTGAGCATCTGACAACTTCGGGATAAGATCCACACATGTAGATGAATCAGCTTTAATAGTTGGTCCTGCAGCCCAACATTTGGGACCGTCACGCTCCAACGCCTTAAGAGCTTAAACTGTGTAGACTCCAGCAAACGTACGAGTATCTTAAGAGCTTAAACTGTGTAGACTCCAGCAAACGTACGAGTATAAACTATGTTAACGCCGATCGATACAAAACCCTAAGGTCAACGCCGGTCAATCAGCAAACGTACGAGTATAAACTATGTTAACGCCGATCGATACAAAACCCTAAGGTCAACGCCGGTCAATGCGTAGCCCAAGGTCAACACCGGTCAACGCATTGCGATGCAGCTAATTAGTTCAAAGTCAACTCAATGACACGAGCCAAAATTAACTTATCAATTTTGATTCGAGACTTCGACAACGGTCAGACGATAAACGCAGCACTGGAAAAATTTTAGCTATTCGGCAAAATACTGAATAGATTGAAAAGTAGAGAAGTCAAGAACTGAAGCAACCTATAGGTCCTTTGACATCGATTGAAGGTGGGGGTCTATCACATCCAAAGTATTTTAGACTCATCTATAAAAGAACGAGGCTGAAATACTTTGGAGGGGGTATCTGTAGGTGTCAAAAATAGTCTATAGGTTCCCGTACGCAGCTCGAGGCGAAATACAAATGATAAGCGTCATCATTCAAGTCAGGAAAGGATTATCCGGTCCTGTGGAAGCTAACGAATATACAAAGTGAGTCATTGGAGTGTACAAGTCAACAGAATGACGAAATGCGCAATACAAGTCCGAAGAAGCCAGAAAGTGCCAAACACCTCAAAGTGGTCCGCACAAAGGATTTACATTTTGACCATGATACAATTTAAATCTGGAAAAATTCAAAAGACAAAAGTTAAAGGTCTCTTCGTCAGATTTCTAACACATCTTGAATCACCTCATTCCGAGGTCGGATAAGTGAGTTAAGGCCGCTATAATACCGTATTACAGTAACCGCGTACCCACGCTACAGTAACCGCGTACCTGCGCTACAGTAACCGCGTACCCGTGCTACAGTAACCGCGGGTCGCTTTGGTGCTACAGTAACCACGGTTCACTTTGCTGCTGCAGTAACCGCGGGTCACTTTGGTGCTACAGTAACCGCGGGTCGCTCTTGGTGCTACGGTAGTCGCGGGTCACTCTTGGTGCTACGATAACCACGGGTCGGATCCGTCTGACCCGCGCCAACGCGGGACGAATCCGTCCGTCATGCTGTTTTGATCCCCGGGCGCATTTTCGACGGTTTTGAGCATTTTCTCGGGATTTATCTATTCCAGGGGTTCCCAATTGATTTGATATCATCCACAAATATGGTTAGACCGTTATTAACTGAAGATATGGCCAAATCCATCATTCTTATCCGAAAACCCCCCAACCGAAGCCTATAAATACAGGCCTAAGGGTTCATTTCAAGGGGGGAGGGGGGGACATTAAGAGGGCGAAACACTACCGAATTGGAGATTGGAGCCACGAATTTACAGTGAGGGTTAGCAGATCTTAGCGAGTTCCTGTGCATAAAGAGTGGAGTTCGAGGGATCTAAGACCCGTCCCCTATTCCTCCGGATTTAAGCTTAGTCTTAATCTCGAGAAGAGCCGTAATCTCGCTTGGTCAGGATTATCGCTGCAGCGATTACTTCCTTCGTGAAGTAAGAGCTTTGATTCCATAATCTGTCAATCGGATCTGATCCGCGGCGGTCCACGGATATCAACGTCCCCGGCACAGACAAAGATCTCACGCAAGCAGCGAGTGATAAACATCCGTTGCGCTATTTGATAAGAGTGGTAATCTTTATTTTCATTGTATAAAGGAGATTTATAAAAAGATCAACTTTTCTTTGTTGGCCTTCTTGTTTTGATGATGTTTAACAAACAATTTACTCCTAATGTTGTTTGTCTAGTGTTTGTATTTTCATATTTATTCTAGGCAAACAACGAGTTGGAGGATGGATGAAATTGTGCATTCATGATCATATCCAAAGGAGGTTGGCGGAATTGTGGAGTGAAGCCATACAATTCAAGTTGAAGATCCAAGTTTAAGCTTCATCCGCAATTTTACCAAGTTGAGCTACAATGAAGATCAAGATCAAGCTTGGGTAATTTAGTTTAGGTGTTATATTATGTGTGTTAAGTACGTTAAGCTCAATATCATATACACACATATTTTATTGGTTTATTTGTATATATATGTAGTCATATATATATACAACACAAGTTTTGGCTTTCATGTTTATAAATATGAAATTACATATTTCATATTTATTTTTGTGATTTGGTTTAACTACTTCGATATGAAACAAATATATTTTCATATACATACTCATATGTTTTATTTTCTATTATATTTGTGAAAATATTATTTTCTTGGTTTATAGACTTAACAATAATCATATACATCTTTTATTAAGTCTACAAAATTATTTTGTAATGTTTCAAAACATGGTTAAGCTAAAATGTCAAAACTCATGTGTTCACATTTTTATGTTTTGGACTATTTTGCAAAATGATGATATTTTTTATTTGGGAAGTCCTTTTTGAAACCAGTTTTTGTAGCATGTTTATTATCATGCCTACAATTATTTTCCAAAGTTTCATAATTTTTGGAATTTATTTGATATTTTTAAACAGGATTTTAAAATCAGCATTTCACTTTTAAACCTGAAATATTTTGTATCAGTTTGTGGTCGACCATCACGGTCGACCGCGCCTATGTTTTTCTCTGAGTGGGCAGCAAAAATTTTCACGGTCGACCGTGGCGGCCGACCGTCAAGCTGAAAATTTCCACAGTCGATCGCCACGGTCGACCGTCAAACTCTCTGACCGCGAGAATTTCACAGTCGACCGCCGATAGCCCAATGGCTATATTAGGTACATAATCGTATTCCTAATTTTCTGGGATTTTTATTGTTTTGTTTGGGGTTTTGGCTGTTGGTTTCTCTTCCTATAAAAACCCCTCAACCCCTCTTCTACGAATAAGAATTAGAGAAAGTTTTAAACAAGTTTAAGAGGGTTTTACAGTTTGTTTTAAGTTTGGTTTTTGTTTACAAAGGAGGAAGCTTATATTGCAAATTGGGGGATTCATTCTCAATCTTATTCATCCTCTCCTTTGAGTTTATAGAGAAGTTTTCTAACTCTTTTCTCTAGCAATTTTATTATTGATTTTTATATTCTTATTATTGCTAGTTTACTATTTGAGTTAGATTTTATTTCACTCATAGTCTATACACACCCACTTGAGCTTATTGTATTTTTATACATAGTATATTTGGATGGATGATAGTTGTAACAATTGAGTGTGAGCTTTCATTGTGTTCTCATCCATAGTAGAGAACAAACATTTATTGTATTGAGCCTAATTGTGATGATATACTTTGTAATATACTTGTACACCGAGAGAAGTGTGTGGTGTGAGTCGGGGATCGTCCCAAGAGGAGTGGCATCGGTTGACGAACCTAGGGGGAGGTTGTATCTGAGCACTTGAGGGAGATACGTCTAGTTTCAACACTTGAGAGGGTGTAGAGTGGGATTGCAAGAGTGGTGATTGTAAAGTTTTCGGTTAGCTAGAAAACCGAGTGTGAGATGTAAACGTTGTTCGGGTAAGCGTAGAAAACCCAGTTGTGTTAGTGGATTTCTCCCCGGGAGTGGGGAGCGGAGACGTAGAACGGAAGGTCCGAACTCCGTGATTATTTGATTGTGTTTGTGTGTGCTTTGACGTTCATTTATATTTGTGCTCATTGCTCATATCGCCATTGTCTCATTAGTTAGTTTGTCCACCTCTTTGTTTACATTATTTACCCTTGTGTTGTTTATATATCCTTGCTCATATTTTTGTAATATCTCATTACTAGGATATTGCTCTTTGTTTATATTGATTATTCTTGCTTGTAACATATTGTATATCTCTCTTGCAAGAATAATTTGTTATTAATTTTAATTGGCATAAAATCGGATTAGATTAGCATAAGACCCTAATCACCCCCCCTCTAGGGTCCAACATTCTTTTCATTTGAGTTTATTGTAACGACCAAAGTTGTAATAGATTTGATGACAATGAAAACATCAACTTTTGACCCAAACAACCTCAACACGAGACGCGTTTTCTCGTGGGGAAGTGGGGGCCACACCGTGTCCAGCTATAAAAAAACACAGGCTTTCTCCTAGGGTTTAGTGTGCAAGGAGTTTCTTCGGTTGTCTGTTTTTTTCGGCAGAGGAGATTTTTTCGGCTGTAGCAAGAAGAAAAGCAAAGAAGGTCCGCATCGAATTTGAGAGCACTATTTGGAGCCGAATTTGAGAGGGCTTGTGCATCCCTTTTGAGAGAGAAATTGTAAGAGATTCAAGAGATTGTTTGAGGGATTTATTTGTGAGATCTTGTGTGATTGTAAACCCTATTTGTATTCTCTTTCTATCTAATAGTATATCTCCCCCCTCCTTGCCCCGTGGACGTAGGCAACTTGCCGAACCACGTAAAAATAGTTTGTCTTGCTGTGATCTGTAATGGCTTGTTTATGTTCCCTCGACAAGTCAGTCCCAGAACTGATGAGAGGAAGAGTGTATATCCCACTTTGTTGAGATATGTCACTTTCAGTTCTTGTTTCCTTTGTGAAACAGGGATTTAGTTGAGATCTACTCTCTTGTTGTGCACCAGAGGTGTTGCCGAAATTTCCGCTGCGCACAACAAAAATCCTACAAAAATTAGGAGGAAATGGGGAGAGTTTTCAAGTCAAAATGGCTTTGATATTGGTTTACGTTGTTGTGATTTGGGTGCTTATGATTTGGGTCAGTGAGTATAAACAAAAGGAAAGTAAATAAAATTCTCAAAATAGAATTCTCAAAATGCAAAATCCAATTGGTACAGCTGGAAAGGGTGCAATTTAACTATCTTTGTAAATAGAATTCTCAAAATGCAAAAAAGAATAATGAAATCATTAACAACACCCTCTACTGGCTCATACATCACCAATGCAACATATATAAAAGGAAGTAAAAGAAGCCAAACACAATACTCATGCCACTAAGCTTGAAAGAAACATTTCATGGTAAATGAGATTTTTAACTCAAAATAAATTCAGAGAAACAATAAATGCCTCAATCGTTGTCTTGTTCTGGACTTGAGGTGCATACAAATAACCGGCAGTAATTTCTCAATCATCATCTATATAAATGGTCTCCTGCTTAAAAAGCCCACCAAACAGATTCCTCACCTCCACCTTCTCCTCTTCCTTATTGGGCTTTGACTTGGGCTCTGGCTCCTTGGGTTTTGCATTAAAGGTCGCCTTTTTTACAACGGCTTTTTGAGGTAACAAACTCCGGGCCTTGGTTCGGCCTCGAACAGTAGCAATCTGAATTTTTAGTTCATCATCTCCCTTATCAGCCTTTTGAGAAACCGCGGTTGAAATTTGAGAGCTCAATTTTTCAAAAGAGAAGTCACCAGCAGAAGAGCTCAAGTCCTTGGCTTTTGTTAAAAGGTTGTCTAATGAAAATCCTGCTGCTTCTGCCTTTGCTTTAGCTTCATCGACGAGAGTCGCAGCTTCTGCTTCTTTATCTGAGAGTTTTTTCACTTCTTTCTCGAGCTTTTTAGCGGCCTCTGTTGCTTCTCGAGCTTTTTTCGAAGCAATAAGAGCTTCTTCTTCTACCTTTGCTTTCGCCATAGCTTCTGCGTATGCTTTTCTTCTTCCATCCTCAGGTATCGCGCTGTCAGCAAGGATGAAAGATACAACTTGAATTCAGAAATCTGGATTGGTTTAATTGTTTTGTTCTCTACTATGTGACAAAAGGTCCGTAATCTCGATTCAATGATAATAAAAAGCCAATATAATAAGCTCCTAACTATGCGGTAAATCACCAATAAGCTAGCTTATAAGTCTCGTTCAAAAAAAGTTGGGATTTTTTACACTTTTAAGTAACTAACTTATAAACTCATAGAAGTAAGCTAGGTTTGACCAAGTAAATAATCATTCTACCCATACAAATTTCATGAATATTTTATCATAAAAAACAAAAGTCACCAAAAGCCCGCATGACTTTAAGCTCCCGAAAATAAGGCATCCCAAATGCCCTTTGTCTGTTTTATTTTCTAATGCTTCTATTATTGCTTCTGCGTCTTTTAATCTAGTTAATAAAATTTTTTGGCAACTTGTTTTGGTTTCTTAAAGAAAAAGGTTAGGAGTCCATAACTCTATATAATTTATAGTAATTACCACCCACATTCTCTATGCTAATTAGCTAATGGTGTAAAGCTGTAATCGCAAGTGTAAACAATAAGCTTGTGAATCATGGTTAGCAGCACTAGATTGCATTTTTCTTTGGCTCATGAGCTAGTTTATTCTAAAACATAGATAAGATTCAAGTTACTAGTGAAAAAGAATGAGTCAATGTCCTGTAGGGAGAAACTAAGGAACTACTATTTTCTCATATAGTTAAACTAACACAAGATAGTTACACAAAGTCCACAAGTTCTACATAGCCAAAAATCCAAAACAGATGGTGCAACATACTGTTATTATTTGTGCAAGCCGGATGATGATTAATCTATCGTCGTTTAGAACTACCAAAACCAAAATATTTCTCAAAACTAAAACTTATCATGCAACGTGCACATGCACGCACATTAGTTCGATAAATCACCTGAAAAGCTCGGCTACAGATTTTGAGGTTGCTGATGGACTTGTCGAAACTTCAACAACCTTTAAGAAGGAAAAATGATTCCAAATTCAGAATGTATCAAACAAGATAGACACCTATTCCTAACAAGATGAAGTAGCAGCTGAACTTGTAGCGTAAACGAGTGAAAATGTTCCGAGTGTCTTTAAAAGCCTGTATCGAACAATTCTGTAGTGTTCGATTTCTGGAAATTACAACTGCATTTGCAAAATAACGTATATACACATAGCTATAGTTACATATGTTTGTTTCATTAATATTGTAGTCTTTTACAAATGTGGTTAGCAGCATTGAATTATTCACTTGACAAAAAATCACTTTTGAATTTCATGTTTTTCATAAACTAACATGCATGTTTGTTAGTTACAAAAATGCTGCAAGTACAGCGGAACCAAACTGTAATATCATTTAGCATTTTCTAGACCTTGTAACATATAACAATGGACATTACAAAATTTCAACAATAACTGTAGGATTTGTACCGCACTTCTAACATTATTACTAATTGTAGTGGTCTGATGAGCTTCATATATTATCAGGTGATTCTCTGTGAAGACTTTTCAATTAACCGATGAGATTAGTAACATATAACAACGAATTGAATCATTTAACTTGCTTGATAATATAGTGTAAAACTTTTCTAACAATTATGATGTTAATTTTGCCGTACGAGGTAAAACTCTAAAGCAGTCTACCTTGTTTTCGGCAACTTCCGTATTGGAGAAAACATCGGCTACCAGCTTCGCAATCTGAGACTTGGCCACCTACAACAACAACAAATCAAATCAAATAAAATGAAAACCCAATAATCTAAAGAAAACAGAAACTTCAGTATATTCACCTTGGACTCAATAATTGTTCCCTCTTTGGACACCACAATCCCATGAGAACTCTCATCAGAATAATCCTCGGTAAGTGCAGCCTTTATCAGCGTGTAACTCACATCCGTTTCCACCGCTTTGGACAAAAACTCTCCGATGCTCAACTGTTTAGCTCCCGAAAACAGACTCGAAAAATTCGAAAAAAATGACGTAATTCCATCCAGCACATTATAAGTTGATGATGGGCCTGAGATGGTGGCCCCAACGGAATCGTAGACCACTGCCACGTGTCCTACGCCTGCCAGCTCTGCGGCCTTGATGACCTGGAGGGCATCGTTGGTGGTGACATCAGTTGTGGGCCCGTTCTCACCGGAGCCGATGGTGATGACGACTTTTGTGGCTGGGCCAATGGCCTTGGCGATGGCTTCTGGGTCGTCGAATGTGGATTCAACAGCGTTTAGGCGCTTGGACTCTGCTGGTGATATGATCTGCACTAAAATCACTTTTTACCGCCAACATACCGTAATTTTGGACTGTTCTCTTTGCAAACTGTGTGATACTTAAGTTTCGGCCGTCATGTAAACTATAATTGCTCTAGCTGTCATGACGTCCAATTATAGGAACAACGGTTTTGATCAGGTTTTGAATGACAATTTACAATTATAATTCTAGTTGCAAATGTTTGTTTTAGAAATGAGAAATCAATATTTTTTTTTTCAGATTTCTGTTCGGATTGCTTGCAATTGGAGTTGCAAGTTGAACTTTATTTGCAATGCGATTTACATTGGAATCCAAGCAAAGCGTAAGGCAGCTAGAGGATTTTTGAGATTGCAATAACAATTTTATCTAGTTGTCGTAAAGAAGAAAATGTTTTGACTGATACAACCGCACTTTAACGCTGGGCAGCGCTGAGCTCCTGGGCAAACCAAATAGTCAAGAGCAAAATTGTACCTTGTAGGTTGAAGCGAGACGAGCGAGCTCCTGGGCAGCGCTGAGCTCTGGCACTCCAGCCCTGACTGCAAATCCTTGCCGGAGTAGCGTCTGAGCAATGCGGGTACCAGATTGACCCGTAGCGCCCGCAACAAAAACTGTGTTGGGATCCTTTCTTCTCGGGCTGGCGAACAGCGACGTTGAAGAAGATGTGACCACCGGAATAAGAGATTTTGCATCTGGAATCTTGCTGAAATTGAAACTGAACCTGTTTGCTTTCTTCGATCCCTCGTTTGGGCTTTGGCTCTCGATGGATTGTGTTTTGGCATGGACGGTAACGGTGGGCTTCAAGGTTTTTGAATCGGGCTTTGAGTAGAGACCGGTTGAGACGCTGAGAGCATTTGAAGAGCTCAGAGCAGAAGCCATGAGAGCAACAGAGGTTCAAACTTTGGTTGGTTCTTAATTCTTCAGCTTCAAGAGGTTGAAGATTTGCCTATCTGGATGAGGATGTGGCCTGGGAGAGCCTATAGAATGGAGCCACATATTAGGATGTTAGATAATTTTATCTGCACCCGAAGATTAAGCACCAGACGTTTGCATATCTCAGCTTATTTTACGATACCATCCATTGGTCACACTCTCTCCACAAACAGAGCAGGGAAGTCAATGTCCCTGCATAAAGACACTTTTCTTTTTTTTTTCTTTTTTGGTGAGGGATAGAGGTCTAAAGGAGTTTAAAGCGTCACTATCAACCTTAGCACAAAAAAGGAAAATAGAAAACATGCAACTGCTCAAATTGGGTCCATTTCAATGTTTACCCCTGCATCTAACAGCTTGAGTAGGATAAACCATTCAGAAAACCCACCAAAAACAGTGAACACAGCAAATCAAACAAGAACCCAGGGGTACTAATATCATATATTTCCACAGGATAGGGCTTTCATAGACCGATAAGTTTAGTTGGTTAGCGGGGAACTACAAACTGGTTCTCCATTAAAATACACATGTAGCCAAGACCATCAAGAACCATTACTGCAGATCAAGAGGTTAAGGCTTGGTTCACTAGGAGGTTTGAGGAGAGAAGGTGAGGTGACGGGAGGTGCAATGAGCCCTTTAAGCCTTTATGTTCCAGTTCCATTGGAGAGGAGGAGAGAAGTGATGCATACTTGTGTAGTTTATTTTTTATCTCCTCGATCTCGTGTCCTCCCAATTTGGAGGGATTCTTCTCTATCTAATTTTTTCGGTTCATTTTATGGTGTCCCCTCCCTCCCCTGCCCACCCCTCATTCTACCTCCAACTCTAAAAAACTCCCTGCCAAGGGCAAATCTAATTTTTGTCTCTCCCCTGCCCTCACCTTCCCTCCATCCAACCCAAGCCCAGAGTTTACATTGCTGTCAGTCAGTATGCCTGTTTCTTATTTATTAGTCTCAGGCGAACCCAAGGAAATCGGCACTGACTATTATCAAAACAAGAAAATCCCTAGGCACATAAAAGAGAACTTCGAAGTCAATACTCATGACATTAGAACTGGTGCACAACCACAATTGTAGTGTCCCCCACGCTTATTTAAATAAGACCCTTAAAACTATAAGTTGTTTTGGATAAGACAATCATTTTGAACCAATTTGAAGTTTTTTGGGTCTAATTTAGAAATATGAAGATTTGAGGATCTAACATAGGGCTCTAATATAGAATTAACAAAGATTTTGGGGTCTACTATGACAAAAAACCAAAAGGGTTTTTTGTTTTTAGGTCCATTTGTTCTATAATCGGGTACATAAATAGAAACGATACACAACTAAACGGAATGTTAGATTTCCCATCCAACAGTATAAATTGTATTAAACTCGACAAAACAATAACTGACATATTACAATTCCGAAACATAAAATACTAAACGTTACTAGTCAATTACTCCACATTTCTCTGTGAAGATTTGCTTCTCTTGCATAAGGAATTAGCTCTATGACAAGAATCCTCCTGTCACATAATTTGAAAAACAATGCAATTACAAGCAACTCTAGGGAAGCAGAATACAGTTTCTGAATCAGACCTAGGCTGAATCATGCATTCTTCTTTGCTTTCTCCTGGAGGTCATGGCAAGATATCCATGTAACCGGTTTCCCGACAGGACTCTGACAAAATAGTTGACTTGGAAATAGCCGAAAAGTTTTATCAGCACATAAAGACGCACAGAATAATTACATTCCACAGAAGGGATGCATACCTTATACTACTCCTTGGTTTTACTGCCCCAATGTCAATTGGAGATCTCGAAAGGGATCATCTTTTTGGAAATTGATAATGCTGTGTAAGAGAAATGAACCTCTTGGGGACTGAGATGAAATAGATAAACTCCTTCGTTTATGCCTTTCCATTATAAAAGGGGATTGGTCATATTATGTTGTAAACGAGAAAAATAGATACAATTGTCAAATTATAGATTACTCAATTTGCATATGTTATCCACTGGCTTTCATTATTCATTTTGTGCCAAGTTAAAAATCAGAAGTTAATCGAAGGAATGGGTTGGTACTCTGAGTAACTCCTTGATCTGGGCTCACTGTTTAACCTAGTTGATGATGGTATACTCCTGTCAAAGCATTCAACTGTAAACTTTACATGTTCATAATAGCGAACACAAAGAAAAACAAACAGAGGACATAAAAAAACAAGGTCCATACTAAGAAGGAGATGAGGAATGACCCTTTGAAGGTGATGACCTTTAGTGCCCACATAATGGTGAATGATGCAACATGCAGAAAACTAGTGGATAAGTGAAGCATATCTTTTTCACTAAGTTCAATCTAAGATTTTATCTTCAGTTTAAAACTGGCTGAGATCTATTTGGATAAATAATGATCATTACCGAATTAGGTTGGTATAGACAATAAGTCTGTGCTCAAATTTGAAGTTAAAGAGGCAGATTTCAACACTTTCAAGCTTTGTTGCACAAAAAAAAAGAAAAAAATCCAGCAGCAAGCTGCCCATGTTTGAGCTTTGTCAAAGTTAATTGCAAATGGAGAAAATCAAGGAAACTTGACTTTCCTTTTTACTCTTGACAGAAACAAAAGTAAAGTAGTGGATAAGGATCAAACGTTTATTTGGATTGTTCACATATAAACTTAAACAATTAGAGGGATGTCAGCTAATAATCAAGCAAATCCATAGAATCAACCATCCATTAAGCATGGTTCACGCCTAACCAATTGAGAATATGAATATTGCCTTCAAATCAAGTGTATAGTAGAAAACAAAGGGTAAGGCCTATTTGGCTTTGACTTTTTAACTTTCTTAGTTTTAAGGCTGTATTTTCCTATGCTTAAGTCACTTGCTACACAATACCAAACCAAGGTTCATTTGGTTATTGCTTGCAGTTTACTAAAAGTTCACATATTTAACTTCCAAATTTGAGGGTTGGATGTCGTTAGAGAGATAATACTGGGTTTCTTTCCCTGTTCAAAATTGCAACAAGGAAACATGCTTCTTTATCTTCTCCTTTTTCACCTCCCTATCCTCTCTTTTTCTTGTCAACAGAACCCTGCTTATTGTTCAAATACTGTCTGAAGATAACTCTATTTGTAATCTATAACTTCAAAGCAACTATATTTCAGTAAACATTCTAACCTAAACAGGCCTAATAAAATATCAAACTCGACTAGCAGTATGCCACCTTCAACATGTCATCCAGCATTAAAGATAGTCGAACACGTACAAATTAGATGCACAAAAATAATGCAAGGGTAAATAAATTCGCAGAGAGAGATTGAAATGTATAGAAATTGACCCATTACTTGCCTCGGTCAATGCCTCCCTTCCACACCTTTATCCTCTTCCAAAAAAAAAACTTTAAACCCGATGTGTTATGAACTTGGAACCATGGGTCTCCCCGTCCAATGAAAATCTAAATGATAAAAGTTGGGGGAGCGAGCGGAACCAATCTAGAGTCAATGGGTCTTAAAATAGAGGCTAGGAACTTATTCCAAAAAGATATAGCTTCTAGGAATTGGCCCCAATTCCTATTTTAAACTCATAACTCTTCCTAATCCTATCCAATGTGGGACTATACTCAAATTAATAATATGGGATTCACTGACTTTTGCTCCACTTCACTCATGGGATATAATATGGGATTCACCGACTTTTGCACTACTTCACTCATGGGATAACTCACTAACTTTTTTGCACCGCTTCACTCGTGGTCTAACAAGACCATGCATTAGTGGAGTCTGTTGCTTAGTGGAGTCTGTTGGTTCTCACTCTCCTTCTACATGAGTTCTCAGTCTCCTCCTAGGAGTCCGTTGGTTCTCACTTTTCTTTTTTCTTCTTTTACTTGGAACATAACCTTAGCTTACTGGGGGAGAGATCTGGACCAATCTAGAGTCAATGGGCCTTAAATCGAGGTTAGGAACCTGTTTTAACCCAAAAGCTATAGCTTCTAGGTAACTATACCCAAAACAAACACTGGGTCAGGGGAAAAAATCAACTCACAACGTTTCTCTCTCGTTCCAGCTCCCTTCTATCTGTCTCTGCCTATATTACTGCAAATAATAACAAACGTTAACAATTTTTCACTAAATAGTGGGTAAATAGTTGCAAATTCAGCAAAAAGGCACCTTTTTTCTTGAATGCTTCCTCCTCTTTCGCGTTCGAGAACTGCTGAGGAACTCTCCTGCATTCTTCTCCATGAATCGATTCAGCTGGATTTGGATCTTCCTCCATCTGCTTCCTATGTAATTAATTCCACAGACAGTTAGGTCTCTGAAATTTTGCATCCAGAAATTTATGAATTGTGACAAACCTTCACGATCCATGGCCCGAGGGTTTTGATCCGCCGACGCGCCCTGGATCAACAACGGTAAAAAACAATTAGATCACAGAATCAAGGGTGATGATCGCAGAATTTGGGGAGGAATCTTGGGAAATCGAGCGATTAGTGTTACGAATAAAGAAATATTTGATGAGGGTGAGGAGAGATCTAGGGTTTCACTCACTTTGGAAATGGTAGCGCGCGCCCAAGGAAGAAGTAAGGCTGGTGTAATCTCTTGATCGAGAGGGACCGATGAAACCGCGAAATTGGGTTGATTACGTGTAAAACTTCACAAAACTCCTTGGTTTTATTTGTGCGAGATCATCCTGAACTTTAAAATTATGGCAATATCCCTACACTCTGGCGTACCTCACAAAACCCCCTGAGCTTTGAAAAATTCTCACTGGACTTTGGAGCTAATTTTGCTCTGGGGTTGCTCAGAAAAGAAAGGATGGAGAAAACACCAGAAAATGTTTGCGGGGATAATTTTGACGCATTTACTGAGAGAGATGGCCTTTTAGTTTTTTTTTTTGAGATAAGTTATTCAGGGCAATTTGCATGTAATCTCCCTCACATATCTCAATTGTCCGCCCTTCTCAACTTATTTACTAGCATTTAACACTTCCTTATTGGTATTTTAGAAACATAAATTATAAGCAACCCCACTCTTCTTTTTGATTTTTTTTGTGGGGTACTAATTAGTTGAAGCGTGTTTAGTGCAATTTGAAGGGGGTTGAAGTTATAGTAATGTGTTGAAGCGTGTTTGGTGCGATTGACGTAATTGATCCATGAAATAAGGAGGGATCTACACAGAGCAAAATGGATTTACATGATTCCACTTTGCTCTTTATAATATAATGCTCGCTCGTTAAAAACTTTTAGGTAATACCAGTAATTATGTATCCATAATTTGATGAAATATTTATTTGAAATTAATGATAATCCCGTATGTCTTTTTTTTAAAAAAAAATTGAAAACTCATCAGAGATTATCATAGATTTATATACTTATTAATTATATATTGATGTCACTTTTTTTTTTTTATAAAAACATCTTGCATCCGCTGCCGAAACAAACACTTAACATTGATGAACTATTTAAAAGTTCATCCAGATTCTGTGAAACTCGGATCTTCTCCAATGTTTAAAGTTCAGAAGGATTTCATAGAAATTCCCCCAAGTGCAGGGATTTTGTTCTGAAATGTACCATGGATTAAATGTGGAGGCCCATATAGGAGTCCAGCAGGGCTATAGTGTCGTATTTTAGTAAAAAAATAGAAATAGGAAGAGGGTTTTTGAAAAGGTTTTTCCTAACGTTTTACGTTTTCAAAATTTTTTTTTTCGAGACTTGAAAATATGATGGGATGATATTTTCTTTAAACTCCTGTGTTTGGTGCAAGTGTAAAAAAAAATGAGAAAGGAACATGAATAAAAATGGAATGACGCAATTTTAATTATAAAAAAATCATGAGGAGAAAAGGAATGAGGAAACTTTTCATAATATTAATTATGGAAATTTGTCAATGTGTCATAAATCCACCCCATTTCCTCCCAAATCAAGAGGATGTTGCTTTCCATAAAAAAAAACCCCCACTTTTTCTATTTTAGAGAAACTGTTCTGTATAAATTCAAATTGAACCAAACACAACAGTTATAAAAAGAAAATGGTGGAAAAACCCTTTGTCATTTCTGACAACGTTCACGCGTTTTCTGCTCCCTCTCCACAAAATTTGGCGAGCCAAACAACTCCCAGTTTATTAAACAGGCCATACAAAAGAGGTGAATCGGGCCAATGGGGGCACTGTCGTCTCAACAGTGGGCTCTTAAGGGGCCTGATTAGTTCTAACGCTGCAGGCCCAACCTGTAGAAACTCGTCCTAGTCTGCTTCCGAGAGAGTGAAGAAGAAGCAATATATCAGTTATATACCTTTGGGTTGTGTTTGGGAACTTTGATTTGGATTTGGGAACTTTCATTTAAAATCAAGGGATTTTAAATTTAGGATTTGAAATCCATGATTTAAGAAATCTTTTGTTTGGATATATTTATTAAATGAAAGAATTTGAAATCTTTGATTTCAAAATCTAGTGTTTGGGTACTTTATGTGAAGCACGTGAATTGTGGGGGCCATGCGGGACAGGGGAAACCGTGTGAAAGAGAAACGTGAGTGTGTTTTGTTCTTGTGGGGTCCACGCATGAGGGTTTCATGTGAAGGCATTTGTTCGCTTGCTGATTGTGACTAGGTCCAGCCGATAGCCTGCATAGAGTTTGCAGCCTATAAAAGGACTTTTGTCCTAGGGTTTCGGTGGCAGGCAAGCAAGGGCGCAGGTGCAAAAAGGGTTGAATGGTAGATACTTTGGCAGCGTGCAGAGAAGAAAAATCGGCTATCTCTTCTAGGGATTTGTGGGGTTTTTGTGCAGTTGTTCTAGGGTTCTGTACATCCAGGTGCAAAAAGGGTTGAGTGGCAGATACTTTGGCAGCGTGCAGAGAAGAAAAATCGGCTATCTCTTCTAGGGATTTGTGGGGTTTTTGTGCAGTTGTTCTAGGGTTCTGTACATCCCCTTTTTGAGAAAAATCGGCTATCTCTTCTAGGGATTTGTGGGGTTTTTGTGCAGTTGTTCTAGGGTTCTGTACATCCCCTTTTTGAGAGAGATAATTGTGTGAGGGGTTTGAGAGATTGTGTAAGGGTTTAGATTGAGAGATTATAAACCGTATTTATATTTTCTTTCCCTCTATTAGTAGATCCCCTTCCTTTCCCCGTGGACGTAGGCAGTTTGCCGAACTATGTAAAATTTGTTAACCCTTATGTTTTGATGATGTTTTACAACCACCATTAACGGTACTAATGGCTTATTGAGTGCAAATGTAGTAAATCCATTTATCAAGCTTGTTAGTGCCATTCATGGAGGATTGGATGGAATATACGCTACAACGATGATATCCAAAGGAGGAGGAGGCATAGTGATGAAGCAATGTTATTTCAAGAACAACAAATTCATATAAAAGCTTCATCCAAACTCAAGCTATATCAAGACTCAAGAATTGTATTCTATGTGAGGATATTAGCTAGTTTTTATTCTCTCAGCTATTGGGACTCACACACACGTTTTTCATACTTATGTTTTTAAGCGTTTTTCACAAAATACTTTTTTTCATAAGTATGAGGACCTATCTGCAAAATTCATTTTTCAAACAGTTTGTTTTTAGTATTAAAAACATTTTTCAAAGTTTCATAATTTTCAGAGGTCAAATAAATATTTTCTAAATATTTCTGTTTGAGTCAAAGACTGTTTCTGGAATGTATCAGAATGCGGTCGACCGCACCGGTCGACCGCACTTAAGATCATTCGTTACTGGGCTACAGAGAGTTTGTCGGTCGACCGGTGCGGTCGACCGAAATCTCGATTTTTCTATCGGTCGACCGCACCGGTCGACCGAAATCTCGATTTTTCTATCGGTCGACCGCACCGGTCGACCGATGAAGTCTCTGTTTGTTTCTTTGTCTTCAGACCTGCTCGCGGTCGACCGGATTTTCCGTCGGTTGACCGATTTCTTTCTGTCGGTCGACCGAACGTTTTGTCGGACGACCGAAAATCTCTTCGGTCAACCGAGACTTTTTTCAAACGGTCGTTTGCCTTGTTTACTGTGCTATCACTTAACTGCGTTTGGCACAGTCTGTGGCAAAAGTCTTAATAGGAGCTTATTTCTTAATTGGGAAGATTGGATTGTGATTTTAAAATGATTAATCTCTCCTATTTAAACCCATACTTCTTCATCTTCCCAAGTGCCCTAACTTCTGCAAAAACCAGAGAGACGTTGTTTTCTGAGAAAAATTTTCAAAATCTGTTCTCTGTGTTTTTCTCTGTGTTTTTGTGTGTGTTCACTTCCCAGCTTCAGTATTCTTTCTCTTTGCCATAGGGACTTGTAAAGAGAGAGTCTTGCACTATTTCTACTGCTTTGTGAGTGTGATCTTATGTAGATCAACTGTGAGGGAGTGTGATCTGTTGAGATCAACTGTGTAGTGTGAGATCGTGTGGGGATCGCTGTGTAGACAAAGTTCCGGCTTCCAAACCGGGTGTGTAGTGGATTTCTCCTCGAGAGTGGGGAGCGGGGACGTAGGTCAGCGGACCGAACCTCGTTAACACATCGCGCGTCAAAGGATAACGATTCCTAACCCTATCTTATTTACATTGATTGCATTAGAATTTTGTGGTTTACTTGTGTTTGTTTTTATTGCATATTTAGAGCCTCTTGACCCTAATCACCCCCATCTAGGGTCCAACAATTGGTATCAGAGCTTGGTCTCTATATTAATTTTTGGTTTAACCGCCTTAGAAAAAAGATCAATTGGAGGCTTCTTTGAATATGCATATGTTAGAAGGACAATCCACCACTAGACCACCACCCTTCACCGGGAGCAATTTTGCTTATTGGAAGGCTAGGATGAGAATTTACCTTCGTTGTATTGATCTTGACATCCTAGAGCTCATAGAAAAGAAATATGTAGAGAAGTCCAAAGTCGGGAACATGACCGATGGAGAAAGGCACCAAGCCAATCTCAATGCCAAGGCCATGAACGCCTTAATTTGTGGTCTTTCCCCCAATGAATATAATAGAGTTTCCATGTGTGCAACCGCATACGAAATTTGGGTAAAATTGTGTGTCACACATGAAGGAACCCCCCAAGTTAAGGAATCTAAGATTAGTGGGCTTATGCATGATTATGGGCTATTTAAAATGCTTCCTAATGAATCCATTGATGTTATGTTTTCCCGTTTCACTAACATCATTAATGAATTACATGGTCTTTATAAGCATTTGTCCATTCAAGAGATGAACTACAAGATACTTCGCTCTTTGACTCCGGCATGGGAGCCCAAAGCTACGGCCATTGAGGAAGCTCATGACCTTACTACTTTAGCTCTCGATAGCCTCATCGGAAAGCTCAAAGTGCATGAGAAGAAGCTCAAGGGGAAGGAGAAGGAGGAAGTGCCATCACGTGAAGTTGATGAGCCATCACCAAAGTTGAAGACAATAGCTCTCAAAGGAGCTAGTGACAACTCGTCTTTGTCGTCGGATAGTGAAGTCGATTTTTCTAGAGAAGTGGCTCATCTCTCTAGAAGAATCTCTAGACTTATAAAAATGAATAAGAAATTTAATCCCCGATCTAACAACAAGTTTTCCTCTCATGTAGGTAAATGTTTTGAGTGCAATGAACCGGGTCACATCGCTAAGGATTGCCCCAAGCTCA